ACCCAACTCGAATTACAAGTCTTGATTTTAACTAGTCGCTGTTACCTAAAATTACCTATCGGTTGAATTACCTAACCTTTATATTTGACAATATTGATACTCTATTCTAAAATTCGGATAACCGAAATAAATACATTATTAGGGCGAAATTATCATTACTTACATTTCTTCTGTATTTTGTTTCTGTAATTGTAAATGTGTGTTGTGTGTGTGCCTGTCTGTTTGGTGATTGGTTGAATTTTCAATGTTTTTTGTTTTTCTGTATACAAACAACATGTGTACATTCATGTGCATAGTTCCAGATGGAGAATCAAAGTATTATCTTTTTTATTTAGGTAGGTAGGAATAAATCATCAAGTTCATTTTGGCATTGTATCACTTTGTTCTTTTTTTTACACTAACCAAATCTCTCTTAGCTTCCTAAGTTCTACCCTAAATACTAAGCTTAATCTGAAATTATGACAACTGTTTAATGTAGAAGGTATTTGTACCAATGAAAAAAAATTCTAGGTTAAAAGTGTTAGCTGAATTCTTAATGTCAAAAAAATATGTGAAAGAATTGATTAACTTCCAAGGATTTACTAATGAACAAAGAAGTGTGTTTAGTTTGTAATAGTCAATTAAAGATTTTAAGCATAACTGAATAGAATTCTAGATGGGTGTTTTATTTTATATCTGGGAGTTGTCAGGTTGATAAATATACTTGCACTTTAATCAATCGAAGTCATTAAAATCGAAAGCGAACAAATTCAAACAACCTTTACAAGTGAATTAAAATTCACTTCACAAATCAATGAACCCAGTAGTTAAAAAGATAACGAGTAAGACATTTCAAATACGAGGATCGATAAAGTATGTATGCTGTATACAAAGAAGAGAGCGGATTCACGATTAAACTATCTAGCTTGAAAAATATTACAGAATTTTAAAAATGTTACAATAGTTGACAATTCTTTTTTATGTATATATTAATCTACTACTTAGATAGGTTTCTTCAATGTCCAATTATATTGGGGATTATTTTCGACTTATCCATGTTATTCAATTACAAGTAACAGACATTTTAATCATGAAATAGATTTTATTCAACTGTATAAATGTTTTATAATTTTCCAAAAAATTAATCAATTTGATTAATTTAGGGTAGAAAATCAACCACATTGTTACAATCAATCATTTAAATATTGATCTATCTTAAGAATAACTTGTTAACTAAAGATGGTTTTCGTTGATGTGATTGAATTTTTGCGTTATTCATGACATTACCTAAGTATATTAGATAATTTATGGATTAGACAACCACTGAAAGCCAGTCTTATTATGAGATCGTTTAGCAGTACGCATCCACGACCTAATCATTGAAGACAGGACTTCGAACCATCTGTCCCATGCGCCAGCGCTTGACTTCTAGAGTATTGAGTTGGTAGCTAGTGGTATGCAAGTTTAACTTTAATCAATCCAAAATTTTTAGCGACCATCTTCCGCTGTCCCTGACGGGTACCTTCTTTGAACTCAGTGTAATTGGACTCCATTAGTCATGGCTTCTTACTAGAATTCCAGAAATTTCATTTCACTGCTGGCATACAATAATATTCATTATAGGGTTGCGAAGATTGTTAGATTTCATGAAAGGTACTAGCCAATCAAGTTAGACAGTTGTTTAGTTCTCAACACAAATCAAAATGTATTGCAAAGAAGTTTATAACATGTATATTACATTTCACCAGAATAGGGCTATAGTATCATTAGGATACAAGTTTCAATGTAAGCTGAAACTGGATAGTTCAACTTCAATCTACGTTAACACAACAATTATTTCTAAATATACTTCGCTAGGGGATGCTATTATATTGGATTTCAGGAGAACCAGATACCATAGAAGCTTTTATGCAACCTAAGTAGCGTAACTCAAACGTCTACTGTGACTACACAGATAACAAGAAGTCTAGTGGAACCAAAAACATACAATAAAATGTATTGTATTCTAAATATTAGTGCCACAACAGGATATCACACGAAATTACGCTTTGATTCAATATGGCGTTCGTTCACTATAGTAATGATTTTAGTCCTATATAACACTGAGTCAGTATATTCTTTATGGTATAATATTTTGTTTATTACGTGATACAGTATTTATTTGTACTTAGTTCAATGTACAGTTAATTTACCATTTCTTCAATATTCAATTACGCGAACTGTTCATCAGTTGTTAGTTTTTTATCTTTGTTCGTGCATCGTGCCAATCACCATTGACCACCTCTCTGTAGACTACTAATTTTCACGGTTATCAAACTTAGAATAAGCAAGAAGATAAAGCGCTTCCTTTGTACTTTTTCTGTCATTGATACAAGCACTAAAATGATCACAATAAAAAAAGTTAGTCACATGATGTCCATTGGAATGTGATGCAAATAAAAATGAACGAGGAATTGTCATTTGATGACATTTAAATTTTAAAGGTCAAATAATCAATTATCCAATCAATGCAATCAAAATTATCACATGAAAATGACCTTAAATTAACAAACAAAAAAATTATAATGGTAATAATAAAACAAATAAATTGTTATAATTTCTAAGAGTACAAGTGTAATAATAAGTCAGGGAAAAATGATTGTTGCATTTTTCTCTTTACGACTCCAACAAATTAATCTACTTTTTGTTCTACTATTAATCAAATGACTAGTTACTTAAAATGAAATTACTTATTGACAAGCCATATGAAACAAAATTGAGGTTAAAAATTATTTCACACAGTTGCGTTTATTAGGTAAGATTGTCATATTTCTATTTTCTATTTTGATCAATTAATTTCGGGATACACAATTGACGTGAATATAGTTTGGAATGGGGGACAGTTACTCTGTTTAATTTAGACTGCAAACTAGCCAGCATTTATCATCAATATAAGGAGAACTTAAATATTCCGGTTGCATTTAATCAAATATCCCTTGACATCATAACAATAGATATTACTACTTGGTCACTCACATTCTACTTGAATGCCAGTCGAACTAAGATATTTAAAGTGAGGAACTATTGAAAAGTAATCAGTCACCTTTTGTTTGCCAAAATGCCAGAGTTATTTCTTAATATTCATTTCTATTCCTGCATATTTTAAACAAACAGTTGTGTGAATCGTTACTTGGATTATCAATTGCAATAAAAAAAATCAGACTTCTAAAGTTATCCTTCCTACTGTATTAATTACTTACTCGTGCTGTACTCCTTGTGGAGCATAAGCCATGCGTTCTTTCTAGTTTTGTCTAATATGTTCATCGACATTAATTGATTTAGCATTGTGATAATCCTTCTTCAACTAATTTTAATCATCATTCAGTTCGTTATGATTTAAAAGGTATATGTTATTAATTAAGTCTATTTTTACACCAGAGTAGCTTTCATTCTAAAAATTATCTCACTTTCGATTCTAGACAAGCAAACTTAACTATAACTAACAACTTTAGCCGAATAGTAGAATTGTAAGTCAATCGATAAGTGAATTAACATCAAAATACTATTATGCTTGCCAGGTCCCACTTATCTTAAAATGAGATGTTAATTAAAGTTGAAGTAAATTTTAACTAAGCTTTATAGGACTTAATAGTCATATCCAGTTTGTTATAATTTTGTGAAAACAATAGCACACCATGAACTTGACATTGTCAAAGATCTCAAAAATCAGTCTTCGATACTAAAGGATGAAGCGACACTATGAATTCAAAAATACATCATTCTCTACTGTATTTTTTTATCGAGATTATTTATTTCTGTAAAACACACCTTAAATTAGATTTATTCTCCATTGAGTATGAACATGTCAAAACAATCACTAGGTTAATAAGAATTTATTTAAACTGAACTGTAATAAATACTGCTCTTCTTAAAATATCATAAAATCTGTAAATCAATGAAATTTATGCTGGATTATTTCCTGTTGGGGATGTTAAATCCCAAGAAATCACTTGATAAATATCTTTATTTTGGATTGATTTCATGGACCGATCAGCTGACCTTGGGATTTTATTTCCCACCAGGAAAACCCTTGGCTGTAATTGGTTATTGTATCATTTTAGTGTGCTATTTTTGTGACTGTCCCAAGGACGTCTCTATAGGGTATAAATTAACGCAGTTTGAGTGCTTGGATTCATTGTGTGCTGGCTGGGTGTTTGTAGAATACAATTTCTACACTATATCAAGACTTCTCGCTGATACCTTTTGGTCAATGGATCAGGGCAGCCTACCTGGACTATGGTTCATTGTTTTGTTCTCGTTATTCGACTAAGGTGAACTCGTAAAAGTTGAAGCATACCTAGAGACGAGCGTAACAAGATGAAGGCACTCTCACAGTTATCATGTGACAATCACTTTTTAAAATTCCCGCTCAGTATAAATAAATGTATCGTAGTGGAGTACATCTAGTAATCTACACGGAAAGAAGTAACTGAGTTATACAATTTACTACTATGTTGAAACATTGACCTTACTGGCTTCAGAGGTAGTTATAGCCATTACCGCGTACAAATACTTTTTAATGTCCAGGTCTATCTTTCAAAACAGATTAGAGGATTGACATTAAAATAATCATTAGCCAGATTAGAGAAAAGCCCAAAACAAAAGTATAACACCGGTAAACATGTTTTAAGCAAATGTTGTTAGAAAAGTAGACCATCTGAAACACCTTTTCATAATAATCCACAAGCCAGTGGCTAAAGGCTTGTTACTAATGAAATATAAATGGTTCATATTCATGATTTTCCACTGTTTCTTACACATTATATGTTAAAAACTTTATTCTTCCCAATTTACTCATTCCAGAGAATTAACCATGTCAAAATCAGTTAATGCATTATTCAACTCGAGTTCCTGCATATTTTACTCCCATTAGTGTGTGTATTACCGTGTTTTTCTTTACTAAAAGGGACTTCCTCTTAATCTCTCATACATAATATACATTAGGTTGTCTCCTATTTTATTTCATTACAATTTTGTTCTAGGTAAGACATCGTAGTCCATCTGAACAAGCAGGATTACGTGAAGGTGATCATGTACTGGCAATCAATGGTGTGGATGCTTTGGATATGTCACATGCCCAAGCTGTACAAATTATTGATTATGCATCTTACACATTGGAAATTATTGTAGGAAGGTAACTAATCTAAATTCTAATGTTTTAATTCTTTATTTATGAAAATCTCAAAATTATTCTTGAATAATCGAATGTAAATCATAATGTATTCGATTTTAAGTTACGATATCTACATGCAAGCTAAATATACTAATCAGTTGTCCAAATAAAAGGTGAAGCCCACTGATAGAAATATGAGTTCTTTGCACAGAAGTAATTTTAAATGCTCTGAATTCTAATTCCATACTTATCACCACTACTCAGTGGAAGGTAAAACTTCATCAGTTGATTCCTATACTGTTGACATTATATAAATTATTTGACTGAGCAGTTAATGTTTACTGATATTTGTTTAGAAATCTAGTTGAAATCAATAACACACCAAGAATCACTATCAAGTGAGATAGTAGTAATCCAGTAGGCATTTATTGAAATTCTTCCAGACATTTAGATAACAATCTAAATGTGAGTATAACAACCTTTCTTTTTAAATGTTCAATAAAAGTGCGATTTCTAGCATCTTCAAGCTTTTTTACATTCGTTTAATGTGTCACTGTTGTACAAAAGAATATAATTCTTACTGAGAACTTCGTCTTATTCATCTAAAACTATCTAGAAATGTCTTCTGTTAATATTTTTCAATGGCACATCTTAATAGGATGGATGGAAACAGCAAACAAAGTGGTGAGAATTATTTTCCTATTTACACTCATTAAATGAAAGGGAAAATGTTAAATATTACTGACATACAAACTGACAAAATATGTATCCATTCCATTCCATTTCCATAAACCTACGTCAGTTTACTCAAACTTTTGAGCAGATATGAATAGTGTGACAGCAAATGACAAACAAGTCATTTTTAAGTCATCCTATTAAATCTATTCTCATCCTAAATAATTATGACATTCTTTACATGAATCTCTGTCATTATTGTACACGTCAACTATATTTATGTTTGTTTTATAAGTGTTTTGTCCTGTGTATAAATCTATTTAGTGTTTACATCATTCATTATATTTGTGAAATTACATACAAATGCATTAAAAGATTCTGTACAAGAGCATCACTCAAGTCCAGGAAAAAGACGTGACCAGTGGAGTCCAACACAGTTGGGTGGATGTAGTTATTTACCCGAAGAAAATGTGTGAGGTTGCGCAAAATCCTTGGAATGATCAGAGTTAGCCAATAACACCGTTAGATGCCGACTCAGTGGTCCAGAAGTCAAGCATTCGCTCGCGGAACCGAAGGTCCTGGGTTCGATTCTTGAGAGTAGTGGGAGTCATGGATGCGCACCATTGATGCTCGCCATACCAGGACGAAATGGATGTCCAGTATTTCTAGGTTTCTAATGGTGGTTCGACAGTCATTCAATCGTGATCTGAATGTAAAATAACGATCTCCTTAATTCTATAATACAAAAAATAAATATGTATTCATCATAACTGTACTCATGAAATGCTTTATTTGTTGATACTCATTGTATTTGTAAAAATGATTACATACTGGAGTCTGTGGTCAGCCTACTAAACGTAGGGAATAAAGGACAAATGAACTATCTTAATACGGGATGTTGTGTTGTGAATTCGGTAGTGATAGCTGTTACGCAACACTTGAACAATTAACTGTTAACACAGAAAGAAGATGTAGTGTAAGATAGTGAGATTTTAAATTTCTCAGTGAAATCGTGAAAAATTCTATGGTTGTCTTAACAAAAAGATAAGACATTAAAAGGAATTTTGATTTGAAAAACAAAACAGCTAATAAAAAAACAGTTAAACATATTTGTATGAATTTTTTTTGGTCATAATTTGTTTAGTTTATTTTCAAGTTTATAAATATTGTCTTAACACACAGAACATACTTTATTTTGTCAAGGTATGAACGACATCAAAGAACAGAAACAATTGTTATGGATAATAAAGCTTTACTATCTAAACAAAAGCCACAAGAAATCACTACAACTGAATTACAATTATTTTGGGAAAAAGAAATGCCGCTAAAACCAGCTCGTCGTAATTGGCCACCTCCACCTCCATCTGTGCCAGATTACACTCCACCTCAACCGACATCAGTACAACCGAAACGTCCACTTTTAGCCAAAACTCATTCAGTTTCAATACATGTACCAGCACAAAGACCAGTAGTTGTTCCACCGCCACAACGTGAACCAACACCGCCTCAAATACAAACAGTACGTATACCACCACCTGTAAGACAACAATCATCAACTGATCCGCCGATTATTCCACATGATCCCGATGTTGCAAGTGTTTCAGTGAAACAATTAATGCGTGAATTCGATGTGCCACCAATTGCACCAGAGCTTAAAAGTGAGTTATTTAGAAAAGAAGTGGTTTTATATGAAGTGTAACAATAATTTATAAGGAAGTTTTCGATTATTATTGGTATCAATAACCTTGATCACTAAATATTTGATTAATAATAATAATAATAATTTTGTAAATCATAACGAGCAGAAGCATTAAATATTCTAACGTTTCGTGACTTAGTATAGGGGAATGAATAAATTAAATCAATCTAAATTTAGATAGTACAAAGGAACATAGTAAAAATATTTCATACAATCAATCGAAAACTGATCTAATCAAGCCAATGTCTTCTTACTTCGTTCAGTGTGATCCGACTTGACTTTTTTTATTGATTGTACTAAATATCTTGGCTTTGTTTCTTTGTACTTTGTAAATTTTAGTAAATTGAATTTGTTGTTTTATTCATCCAAGTAGACGTTTACACTGAGTCACGAAATATCAGCACTGGATGATCAGATTTCATCAACTTATAATTCAATAAACTGTCATGATAGAGTAAGAAGAAATCGTCCAATCGTCCGATGCTTTCAGGTTCCTAATGGTGGTTGAACATTGATCGAGTTTTGTAATTTAAAGTAACTGAACCCTCTAATACAAATAAGTTTTAGTTCGTTGGCTTTAATAGACTGTTAGAGCACCTCACATACATTTGAGTTTGCTTACATTGAACTTGGTTAGTTTTTGGTGTATTTTGTGCCTTAACAAATATCAACAATGGAATAATTAAAAACTAAGAAGTATTGAATACCTGTGTCATCCTTGTATGGATGGGTTCACACTCGTAGTCTTAAGAACGACTGAAGCTAGGAATATTAAGTTTAGTAGCAGTGAGTTAGATTTCACTTTTTAATATTTCTAAAATTCAACTACTTCGAAATATCTAATGATATCATCACGTTGTGAGTAATTGCTCCACTTTGATGTTCTAATAGAACTCAAACATTTCTAAGCTATTCATTGCAGAGTTAACTGCAAACACTACATACTAGGTTGAATTGTAAGCAGCGTCGGAGAACATATCAACTGAGACAATGGAAGCGGACAACAGTAACTGCTAAGGGATTAACAACATGTACCAACAGAATGAAAAGTAGATCTCAGAAAGGAAGCTATAGAGGCGTCAGTCTGCTGTCAGTACCAAGAAGAGTTTTTGACAGAATATTGTTGACGCGAATGAAAGATTCTGTAGACGCCAAATTTTGAGATCAGCAGGCTGGATTCCATAAAGAACGATCGTGTTACGACCAACTTGCAAAATTACAGATCATTTTGGATCAATCATTTGAATGGAATTCACCACTCTACATCAACTGCCTTGAATATGAGGAAAGCTTCTTCGATACAATAGTGTGCCTGAAAATATGCTTAGCAGCATACGGAATTCCTACGACGAAGTACGCTGTAAAATCGCGCATGAATGAGAAGCTCAAAGACTCATTCAAAGTGAAGACCAGTGCCAGAAAAGTTTGTCTACTCTTACCCTTTCTTTTTCAGCTGGTGGATAATTAGATCATGAAAACATCAACATACTATGAACCTCATGCACGACAACAAATGCAGAAGATGGCCGGTATAGCAGCATCCTCTGAACCAATCGATCTCAACATAAAAAAGGAAAAATCGAAATCCATATATAAACACAGCATCCACCGACAAAATCCTAATTGATGGGCAAACTTTGGAAGATGTGGTGGACCTTACATATCTGGGCAGAATCACTAGTAAACAGGATAGATCTGATGCATATGTCAAGGCGTGTGTCAACAAAGCAAGGATAGTATTTCTGCAACCGAAGAACATCTGGGACTAAAAACAACTACCAACGAACACTAAAGTCACAATTTTCAATACACATGTCAAGAGTGTTCTATTGTATGAAGCGGATTTTTTGAGAGCTACAAAAGCGATTATCCGGAAAACTGGTGTTTATTAAAAGTTGTCTACGCAAGATACTATTCATCCGTTAGCCAGAAACCAGCAACAACCTAATGCGGGATAGAACAAACCAGATTCCTCTAGAGGAACAAAGTAGGAAAAGGTGCTGGAGGCGGATTGGGCATACATTGGATAAATCACCCAAACAAATCACGAAGCAAACCTTCACTTAAAATTCTCAAGTTAAAAAGAAAAATAGGTAGACCATAGAACACACTGCGCCAAGAACTGGAAGCACTTTTGAAAAGAATGATTAGCGACTGGGAAAAACTGGAAAGAAGAGCCCGGAACAGAGTTATTTGGAAAATCCTAGTCGGTGGCCAGTTATCTATGAGGGGTAACATGAGTAAGAAAGTAATGTTGAGAAATAAGCTGGCGATTGGATATAGTCGATTGGAAACCTTGGACCTAAGTTTCATGAGCTCTGGCACTTGTTAACGAGGTATATGTATAATCCTAATGTAAATGATGCTCCCTTGAGGATTTGGTCTCGTGCCATTAAGTTTCACACTCAGAGACGTTAGTACTGATCTTTCTTTGCCGCGATTGTTCTCCTGTAGGACTGAGATGTACTGTAAACCAATTGATCGGTGAGTCTTAACCAATGTCATGTATGTCAATTCTTTAGTGTGATTTATTCTTTATAACCACAAACCATCGGGGTTATGTAACACTTTCGACATAATTAATATAATTTAAAACTATACAGTATAGTTGAAAGACACTTATCAGTCTAAAATTAAAGATGAATATCAAAATAACTTTATTTGAAAGTTATGAATCTTAATCTGTTCTGCATCCCCATTTGAATTTTTCAAATCGAAAAATCTCTATACTAGATAGATTCTTATCAATATGGAACAATGTATGCCTTCATAGTATACTTGGAGATAATTGTGTGACTATTTATTTAAAATAATTTAGAGGAGTGGTAAGACAGTCATCAGTGATAAAAATGAACGACACGTCCATAATATATTAGATTTGCTGAATCGGAAAATATAAACCGATGATCTAAATTCAACGTCTTAGCTGAGAAACAAGAAGGTTCTAGGTTCGACTCCTAAATGTAGGGTTAGGTCAGTGGTATGAACTGATGAATTCCACACTAGGAATCAATAATTATTCCCTACCTCTTTATTTGTAATGCTATCTAAATGAAATTTTCGCACTACTTCTTCTTTTCATAATAAACTCGACTACGTATTTCACTAGATTTAATATTCTTAATTAATTCACATTTGAATAAAATAATATTTTTTTGTTCAATGTTTTTTTGTTGTTAAATAGAAAAGAATTATGCTGATTCATCATTCTATTCTGATCCAACAAAATATTATCCAACAATTGAAGAACAAATTGAAATGGCCAGAAGAGTTGCAAACAGTTTACATGATCCATATAATTTTGAGTCAAAAGGTGCATATATGTTTGAGAAACAAAGACAACGAGCAGAAAAACATGTAAAAGAAGGTCCAGAACCTCAACCAGATCCTATTGAATTGGTTAGTGATAATTTTTTTGATAATATATGCATTAAATATTTTCCAAGTTGATTAGTAGAATGGTACTTTGATGTATAATGCGTTCGACTTAGTATGTTCAGACTCTATTGCATCCAGTGCGATTTGGTCAGTCGTATGCTAACCTAAACAATTAGAGTGTGGCTTGTAGACAAGCAGATGAATTTCGTCTCACAGTGGGTCTGCCTAGCAGTTCATGTACCTAACCTCTTCGTGGGTCTAACCTATGAAGTTCAAGTCTTTAGCAAAGTGCCTCCAATGATAAGTTGTTACTATTCAAGTCGAAATATAGGAAGAGTAAAATAATTGTCATGAGACTATTGAAATGAATTTAATGACACCCGATCATAAAACTCTCCAGTGAATGAATCTTTGAAATTCAGATTTTGGGACAATCAGAATAGTATCAAGGTACTGAACTACAATACGGTAGTCCGTATTTCAAACTTTAATTGATTGGCTACATCAAAGTATAATAAATTGAAGATTTGTAATAGATCTTAAACTTAATTACAAACATCAGATCGCTAACGCTCTCGGAAATCCCGATGAAAACATGTAACTTTGGGGAGATTGACCAATAAAAGAGTCACATGGATATCATTGGCGACAGTGGTTGATAGTTAGTCAGTATAGATGACTGACTGAAGTTCGAAATGTGAACTTTTGGATCTCATTAAGAACCGAAGATCTTAGGTTTAATTCCCAATCAGATTCTTGATCCGCATTGCTGAATAGTTCTAATCTCTGGAGATACTACTATCTTCTATTATCTACGCTTTAATGATATTCCAGTTGATGGCATTTGATAGCGAAAAAACTCTCTTCAAATTGAATATTCTTCATCATGAACGATTACTGGCTGTAAACCTTATACAACTCAGTATGCAAAGCACAGTTTTATTGATAAGCAGGAATCTGTAAGATCCATCAAGTAAGATAGTAACTAACAAACGATTTCCATTGCAAATTGTGCCTTACTACAAGACTGCTGGTCTTGGGAATAAGAAACACTGAATCCAGATCCACTGATTGAAATACCTCTCCGGGTAGACGCAATGCCATGGGTCATGTCCTATATGAACTTACTGATATCGCATCCAGCATTCTAAAACATTTTTCCGCTATTTTTTTGAGATGATTGCTGGATACTACAGCGTAATGTTCATTTGAAATGTTACTTGAAGTCCTGACTTATACAATATTTGTGGTTTTCTTCTCAGATGTTAGTTTGCCCTACATTGACTTAGTCATATTTGTCAGTGTCACTTAATCCTAAAGCTTTGAAACAAAATCTTTGGTAGGAATTACACACAACTGTTCAGCACTCGTTCACTAAATGAATCAGAATTTACTTGAAATTACTTGATACATTAAAATCATCCATTGATTCTTAGGTTAATTTATAAAAATTTGAATGTTTTAGAAACTAATTTTAGAAGTGGGAGTGAGAGAGAGTACAGAGTCATAGATGGAATAAAAGTTTTCAATCAAACCATTCCAAGTGTCAGCTTAAAGCTTATTCTTAAACGCACAGGTATATCTTTAACACATTTAAAAGAGAAACTGTCCGTAAAGCCATTATTATTTATATTATATCAATACAAATACTCGCTTCACTTATTTTCTAGCGATTTCGTTATATAATGTGTTCATTTCAAAAAACTTATTACATAATACTCATCAATTTACGTGCACGATCAAGTTGATACAAAAAGAATGTAATATTTGAGGAGAAACAATATTTCATTATTTGAAAAGAATATGAAGTATATAATCAAAATGGAACATTGATATATTCAAGTGTTAATATTTTGTAGTACAGCAGTGTTACTGAAGTATACATACATATGTGATGTGTAAATTTACTGCGTGTTCTTAAGCTCGGCAATCAGGTCGTCCAGAAAATCGTTACTAAATAGCGTCTGACGGTTTATAAATCAGAAGGTGAACTCGAAGTGATGAATACGTTTATTTGGGACACATCACAAAGCGAAGCGGAGAAGCAGTGAATAAAGAGAATGAAGCGATGTGAATTGAAGAAGGCTGTTGAGCCAACTCCCAGGATTACAATGCGAACGAATGAGTGAAGGAAGCGAATGAACAGGCGAAGCGCGTTGGAGAAGGCTTATGAGCCAAATCCACATCGCTGCATACGATTCGCTTCGGTCGCTCATTCGCTCGCCAGTGTACACAAAAATGGTGAGCCCGACGCAGTAAATGGACACACTACACATAGATACATCATAATAATCAACAGTACTATGAGTATTGAGTTCAGTTTATAGAGCTGTGTAAGAAGGACATTGATAGGAAAAGAAACTGGAATAACACTACAATGTAATGAGATTGTTGCAATGATATTTCATAAGATGTGATAGCTATAAAGAAGGTCTGGAATGTTATATTGGTTAAATGAATAATGTAATAAAGGCTTACAAAGTACTTAATAATTGCCTTAAGACTATAAAAAGAAGACAAGAATTGAGTGAATGCAAGGTCCATATTTATGTTTCATGGTATATAAAAATGAGTAGATTTTATCAAAACTAATCAACTACTCTATGGACATACTGATAGTAGCACAGCAAATGATGTAATTAGAATTAAGTTTGAGGTTAACCATGTAGATTGTAAGGAAATTGAATTAATATATTCAGTAATAACTATGACTAAACATTTCAAGCCTTTACAATTTCACTAGAGTAGTGAGATGTAGTCGCTATCATCAGCATATTAAAAACAGTCTCAGAGATGAATTCATCAGCAGTGTATTGTATAAACAAGCATATTTGTTTTATTACACGAATAGATTCTGGTGTTTAGTTTTCGGCTTGTTGAATTATCCACTTATAGAGAAGATTCATCTTCATGCTTTAGCTTACTTACTTACTTACGCCTATTACCCCCAATGGAGCATAGGCCGCCAACCAGTTTTCTCCAACCAACTCTGTCCTGGGCTTCCCTCTCCAGTTCTGTCCAATTTTCGTTCATTCTTCTCATATCTTTCTCTATTTCTCTGTGTAATGTGTTCCTTGGCCTTCCTCTTTTCCTTTTGCCTTGAGGGTTCTACTGGCGGAGTAATGCTTTATTTAGCTTAACTACATAATAAAGAAATATCATAATAATTATTGTTCTAATTTTACACTTCTATTTTAAGGCAAGTCCTGAAGAGTTAGAATATATGACACCTCCGGAAGCACCACCACCTCCACCTCCACCAGCGCCAAGTTTTCCAGGACTTCAACCAACTAAGAAACCAGTGATTCCACCACCTCCACCTATGACATTTGCACCAGGTCAACCAAAAACAGTACAAGAATTTTTAGAGAAAATTAAAATATTCCCTAAAAATCTCCACACTGATTTAGATCCACAAAAATGTTTTGATATTGCTACGGCTTTGTACACATCGGATAGTCGTGGTGCTAAAATGTTTGCTAAACGTCATGCGAGAGCAATAAAATGGGATGCTCAAAGTTCTGGAGATGCTGATGATACCGGAAGTAGAATGAATGTGGCAGTAGCATCTGGTCCTGGACCAACTGTAAGTAATCCGGATCAAGTAAAAATGGTCTCGAAATTTTCACAATCCAAAACAAAACAACAACTTCAATTAAATCAACGACAACAACAACAACAACAACAAGAAGCTCCAGTTACACCATTATCAATAAATAATAATAATGGTAATAACAATTATAGTGATAATGGAGAGTCAGATGGATTTAAAAAGTCGACTATTTCATTAGCTACAAACAGTTCCGTAACTACACCGACACCTTTGGACAATTTAATTGGTCCTACACCGAAACCATTTATACCAATGAATTCAAACAACAGTAAGTTGTATCATGTCACTTTTAAAATAACGTCGTTAATAAAAAAAACGAAATAAGTTTTGTTTGCATAAGTCTTAAAATTCATAACCATAGTATACATAAGAAGTCTTGATAATGTTAGCTAGTTTGAGGTAGCCTGTATAAAACCTTAGATGTGTATATTTTGTGTATAGTTATATTTCTCTATAAAACATTAGACCTGTGTTTCATGTTAGTCGGTACTGAGCTGATTTTGATCAGAATTAATTGGCTAGACATACATACAGTTGGTTAACACTCAATGATTAGTCTCCTGTAAATAAACATGTTAAGCATCTATGTCTACTAAAATGAAGATACAGCAAAATGTTTATTTTCGTTGAAACAATGAATCGGTCATTTTTAGACCATAGTTAGAAACATAGAATCATTGAACGGCCGTTTCTTCCTAGTATGGGACTCAGTGTCAGCGCGTGTCTACGACTCCTACACGCGGAGAGCGAACCGAGGACCTCAGGTCTTCTGTACAAACGCCTATCCACTAGACTGCTGAGCTGAAATCCAATGATTTTAGTCTAACGTCAATCAATCAATGATATTGCGCAACCTCATCTACTGTCTTCAGTTGGCAACTGCCTCACATCCAACATAGTTGAACTTTCCACTTGTCACAGTTTCTCACTAGACCTTCGAGAATTTTTTCACGAAGCTAGTCACTAGTGAGCACAGTTTTCATCATTTTTATTATAGGGTAGTGAAGACGGAAATCATTGTTTTTTCACCATTTCTAAATACTTATCTCTACCTCACTATTTAATTTATGATAAGTTATGTATAGTTTTACCTCTTGAATTCAATAGAATGCAGTGTATTTCAAGTAACTTCATGAATCAATTACATTATATGGTAATTTATAAGTTCACTATTAACTTTACACTATGAATTATATTGATTAGGATAATTGTGAATATTTTTACGAATAAGTGATAGAAATTAGGAAGTGTTTATCCACTTATTGCATAAAACAAAATTTATTTTAAATAACAAAACTCTTATTAACTCTCTCTATATATATATATATATATTTTAATGACTTCCTTAATTAGTAATTTTAATGAAAATATCTACAAGTATCTTTGTTTGTATAGATTCATAAGACTTTGTTAAATGAATTGTCAAAGAAAACCAATGTACTATTATTATGTAGTTAAAAGATATTTGCATTTTCATTCTCAACATAAACAGGTTAGAAGTGAGAGTGGATAAATAGTTTAGTGTTAGTGAGTTAGTTAATATAAATCTACTAAACAAGATTTTAGTAGATAACAATGAAGTTTAAAAATACTTTTTGTTTGATTTTTAATTTTAATTAAATCCTCCTATAAAATATTAGAAGCTCTTGTCATCTATGAAATGAAACCGGAACCAGGATGTACTTCCGTACGTCCCATCCGCATGTTAACTGTGACTTCAAATTATCATTATTATTCATTCAATCATTTTGTATTTGAAAATATTTTCCCCTCTCTTTATTTAATCATTTCTCATATTCTCATAATTTTATCCATAATTAAAGTCAACCTCTCATTTTAATTATGTTTATTCTATTCACATATTATAATTCATAGCTAACTCATTATTAATTTCATAAACCTTCCCATTTGTACAACTCACACAATCCTTTATTGTCAGGGTTTATACAATCTAATCTAGTATTGTAATCTTTCTATTACATCATCCTATGTATTCATGGTATATATATATATATTTTTTTTTTCATTAAGTAGGTTTTATGTATATAATGTTATAATGGGTAGAGGAAACCTTTTCCTGTGTCTAACTATAATATTTCCGATTAGAGTTATAGAGACTAGTGTTTTTACACATTTGAAATCATCAATCAGTCATTGTTAGACCATTATTAGAAACCTGGAAGCACTGAAAGACGGCCGTTTCGTCATGGCATGGGACTCATCAGCAGTGCACATCCACGACTCCTGCACCTTGCAGGATTCGAACCTTGGACCTTCAGTAATGTGCGCGAACGCCTAACCTTTGGACCACTGGGCCGGCGTCCAACAGTGTTAATTTCTCACTCTGATCTATGGATTTTGCGCAACCTCACCCATCTGTCTTTGGTAGTTACTGCCTACACCCGACAGAGCTGAAATCCACTGGTCACGTCTTCTATAATGGTTGCGATCAATGGTTTTGAACTTAGCTTAAGATATTTGTGATGACTATTCTGAATATATTTCCTACTATATCTATTTGATAAATTCATCAATGTAATCTCATATATCCGACTCACGGTCACTTATATCTTTGAATATTACCTAAATTTCCCACAGTTATTAATAATGATAATCTGTATTTATGATTTATCTATTCTAACTACCTCGTTTGCATATTATCTAGAATATTGATTGAGAAAACTTTATAGATAAGCCTTGTCATTTCAATTACTTAAGTTCATTATTCACCTTAGTGTGTATTAATTCAAATTAGTTTTCTTGCCAGATTAATAGTAGCTACAGAAATAATAAGGAACTTGTTATGCTCGTCAACTGATATGCTTGAAAGTATTACTGGTTCACCTTAGTCGATAAACGAGAACGAGACAATGAACCAGTGACCCGTTGGACTACTCTGATCCGTTGCCCCAAAGGAACTGATGAAAAGTCTTGATATAGCGTAGAAAGTGTATTCTACAAACACCCAGCAAACGCAATGAATCAAGCACACGAATCGCGTTTATTTGTACATCATAGAATCACAAAAATAGCACACTAAAATGACATGTCAACCCATCACAGCCATGGATTTTCCTGGTGGGAAATGTGATCTCAAAGTCATCTGATCAGCCCATGAATAAAATCGAAAATTAAGACCTTTGTCAAATGAGCTCTGGGAATCTAACGTCCCCTACAGAGCTAGATAATTTTTCAATAATTGGTCATTGAAATGTAAACAATAGCAAGTTTGTCTGGTCCTTCAGCGCTTTACAAATTCTATCAACCAAGTTACGATATAGTCACTGGTTTAAGTGACTCACCATCGCATCCACTAAGTTGTAATATCGGCTGATTGAAGATGGTCAGAAAGGAACCTTGAACCTAGGGTATTTGTGAACTGAAAAATTCAATGGAAGTATCTAGAACTGTGAATCTCAGTTAATGGTTACAAGTCTCCTATGAAATATCAGTTCTTTGAAAATTACATGTATGCCTTGCTAATGAGTGCCAACTAGCAGGAAACGTAGGTTTAAGGTACCTTGTCTGTAGCCTCCAACTAATGTACATAATTGGATAGTCTAAACAGTCAAACCATTTCTATCATGAGTATACAAACGCCAATATTTTTGAAAGTTTCCAGTAAGAAGCTTGAGTGACAGACTTCAACCAAGTCGAGAATGAGCTAAATATCACCGATTATATAGAATTTTTGACATGCTGTTCATCAATCTAACTAAAGTCAAATTTATCAGCTACAAGATTTTTCCAAGTGTTGTAAAATTATCGCGTAACCCGCAGGCCTTAAGAGTCTTAGACTGAAAGCTCGATTGAACCGCAGCTACATGATATAGATGAGCAAGTTACAACTTCATGGTTGATTGACATTCAGAGAAGAGATACAACAATCCAAACCCTCTTTATAATCTCTTCATCTCCGTGTAGACTATTTTGGCCTTCAGCAGTTTTCTAAGCTTCGCTAGATCATACTATTCTACTGGTAGGGTTAACCTTGAGCTTGAGGTTAGGCAAATCTCAATTTCCTGCTTGTCCAGAATGCATCCCCTTCTTCGATTGCCAGCCCTACATCCGAATAAGACAATTGGAAAAGCTTCTATCATTTTATATTCCAGGCCCCAATCGTTTCTATCTAAAACAGTTATTATTTTACGTACATAAATTATCAAACCGTGAAGCACTGTTAATACAAAGTGATACTTAGTAGAGCAACTGGTACAAAATTGATTAACGATAATTAAGAAATCATAAATCGTATAACAAATAGTTGATACGTCCAACAAAAGCCTGTAATACCAGCAATATAAAAAGACAATAACCTTATTATGTGATAATTACACAATGAAAATATAAATTATCATAATCTGTTAAATAATGCCGAAAGTTCAAATCTCTTCAGTACCTTCGTTGTCTTGCTTAACAAACGGTACTTTATTTACTTATATGCCTATTACCTCTAATGGAACATAGGCCTCCGACCAGCGAATTATTTTTCTGGTTAGCGTGTCTTTTTAGCGAGTTGGATTTCTGCGACATGGGGTCGCTAACCACATCCCGCCTACTCTTCTCTCTTATCCTAACTTAGAACCGGCAGTAATCCTAACAGGGTTAATGATACTTGCTATCATCTTAGTAATAAAGATTTCCCTGTTTACTTTCGAATTGAACAATCTGTATAACCAATTGACGAAAACTTGATTATTGCTTAAGGATTATGATTGTTCTTACGTCATTTAGAATTGATTTATAAGCATAGAACAATATTAGGATGTGCAACATGATAATTGCACTGTTTTGAATGACACATTATTCATTGACCGTTAACTTCTTAGCACATTTGATATTGATCAATAATGAAGATTCTTTTGTTTTAATTTACATTTTTTTTAAAAAATCAAACACAGATACACGTTTTGGACAAATGAATAATAATAACAGTAACAATGCGACTATCACTACTAACAATGAAATTAACACCATGGAATCAAATCATTTAAACAACACAAATGAATCTGGTTGGCGTCCAGTGAAATTTCGAATTGGACAACCTACAAATTGAATGAATTGCCTCCTATTTTTGTTTGTTTCGACAGAAACAAAAAAAAATACACACCCAAATTTACAGGGAATGGAGTTGTTTTATGCATCATTATGTTGTCTATATATATAGATAGATAGATACTTCATTATATAACCACTATTGCTTCCATTGTTATTGTCAGTAGAAAATAAGATTAGGCATTGTAACAACAATAATGATGAATTGTGTTAAATCGGTTTGTTTCATTTCATCCTTATTTATAGCTACAATAACCTGTTTATTGCTTTCTCTTTGCTCTGTTGTTTGATTGATTGATTATTCATGGGATACATAGAACACTTATATGAATTATACTTTGTGTCATGTGGTATCTGTGGTCTGTGCCTGCACCTCAACCACACTTTATTTAACAAGTAATTTTTCTAGCTTTTAATATCTCAATTCACTCAAAGACTAATTATACATACCTACCATTGTCTAGCATTGATTGACCTATTGAATGTCAGTCAAGTTGATGAAAATATTAAGAAAAATGTACAGAATACAATTTTCAAAACAATTACGCACATATTTACGAAACATTTCGTAATTTTCCAGTGAAACTGATCAACTTCTTACAGTGTTCAATAGATTAGTGATGAATAAAACAGAAAATTATTTACGGATGCTAACATCAACAACCGCATCAACTGTTCTTGTTCAGTTCATAACCCTACTACCATGAGTATCAGCCTAATTTAGTGTGTTCATTTTGTTTGTTTTTTGCCTACCTACTCTCAACTGCCTTATATCATCTACCTATTCACAACTATACACAAATACTTACTGACTCCTATGGCCTATTCTTCTCATCATTGTCAAGTTCTTTCTTTATTCATATTTGCTTGTTAACTCACCTCCACCTATCTTAACTTAGAATAGAGTTTATTATTACATCATGTAATCTTGTTATAGAACGAGAATATATATATATATATAACTGTTGAGTTGTTGAGTAAATTCTCGGAATAAACAATTCTATTTCATTTCTACGCTAATAACTACTACTCATTTCAAATTTTTGGTATTCCTGTAATTTGAATATAAAGAAAGATTTTTAAACAAGAAATTAGATGATGATAATAATACCCAACTATGTTGTGTGTGTATTTTTTCCTTTGTTGATTAGAGAGGAAAAAAAACTATAGTACGAAACATTGTTTTCCATAGATAATGATTACTGAACATGGGAGAGAAAGATAGAAAATAGAGAGAGAAAGAGAGAGTGAAGAATGAAAATGTTTACTGAGTAGGCGCGCAGTTTGACAGATTCCGTGTACACGTCGCCTTGGGACGGTGAAAGAAAAAAATGGCAGTATTATTGTTACAACACTTAAACATCATAAACATACTGTAACAAGATGATGTCTCGATGAAATAATAATTCATTTTGGTTGAATAAAATACTAGTTGAAAATTTTTATAATGAATGTTGTTTAAGATCATATAACTAACTTATTTCATTACAGTTGAAAGTAGCTTACATACCTGAAAAGAAAAAGAAAAACTCAACTGGCTGATGACAGTGAGCAAAATAATCAATCAAATCTGTGATCGATTAAACGCAGTTAACATTTAAAACTGTATAACATTATATTAGGATGGCTAGCGGGACTATAATTAGTGAATGAATGAACCAGTAGCATTAAATATAGAAAGCCTTGGATCTAGGCACGAAATTTATTCATCCCTCTGGTGAAAAATCCTAACTGTAATGCCTAAGCCTAAATTGTAAACTGTAAATCTGACACCTAATAGCCCACTCTAATTTTTAACTTTCTTTTAACACTTGTAAGCAGGCAATGTTTCTCAAGGTCACTCTGGCACTACTCAAAGATCGTATATAAATTATAGTCTCATCGATTTGCTTGAATAGCTGAAACGTATGTTATATACACTGAAAAGATTTTATTTTACTTCTAAATAGTGTAATAATAATATCATATCGGAAATTATTGTGGCATAAAATCTTAAATAATGAACATAAGTGTTCTATCTAACTGCTGCATTGCATTAGTTCAACTTAACTTTCAAAAGAATCAAGGCAGTTTATTCGGCCATACTTAGGATACTTAGGATAAAACAGTAAGGAAACAGAGTATGGAAAAGAAGCATTCCAAGTAACGCAAGGACAAGGTATGAAGAATAACTTAATGTATTTCAAGTTTTCTTCTTCAACTTCAAACGACCTAAGCTTATAACAAATTACTATTAATATTATTATTGTTATTGCTATTATTATTATTATTATTATTATTATTATTAATGTGATAAAACCATTTTACTATAAATCATAAACAATGAAGTTTGATTCCAAATGGCATAAAGAACGAAACGAGGCAACAGACAGACAGACAGACAGATACAACGCAGAACTTCGTACGTGAGCACATCAGTTCAGGTTGCCATACCATATCAACACAGAGACGCAACTGTCAGTGAATTAGGTTGTACAAGGCAATGGATTTATCAAAGTTAGACATTAAAACCGTAAATACCGACTCGATCGTCTATAGATAAAGCGTTCTCACACGCGACCACAGGTCCAAGGTTCGATTCCAGATCGTGAAGTCATGAGTCCACACTTTTGATGAGTGCCATGCAAGGACGAAACGTCCATCCGATGCTTCCAGGTTTCTAAGTGAGGTCTAACATTGGTCGATTCATGATTTAAAAATATACTGATATGTCAAAGATGAAAACCATAAAACAGAGGCTGAATTTTTACATAAAATTAAAGAGAGAAAACTAACAAATAAGTTACAATCAAAGTATCAAATCGAGGTAGAACTAAATGTAAAGTCATGAGTTAATATCAAAGGAATTTTTGATACTTTAAACTATGAAGTACAATAAAAAGATACAAATCATTATTAACAAACGTAAAAATAATATGACCATTTTAACAATAGCAATGAGAGTTTCATTACACTTCCTTTATGTATATAAAGATCAGGTTAAAGGCGTTTGATGACCATGGTCTCTCAAAAGGAGAGTAAAAGTGGCATTTGTTCTTTGTTAATTGTTTTAAATCCTTTTTTTGTGATGTCCACATTATGCTCACTAACCAGTAGTGATCATACTTATGGATACCGTACCTTTTTACAGACACAACTTACGAGAAAAAGCTTATAAATGACCTCTTTTCGGTCATTTCTATAAATTTGCTTTTATAAGTACTTGTAAATCCATCAATACATCTAAAGGTGATTTCAGAAGAGCATTGATCCACTTTAAATTGATTTAAGGAACAGCTAGTGCTGTACACACCGAAAACAGTTGGGCTACAGGGAAGTTTCTTTTAAGTTCTGTTTTAATCCTTTTATGATGAACAATTTGCTTGGATGCGTGGAATTTTAGTGATATCTATGATACACCTTTTACTTTCACTGAACGATAAAAACTTATAAATATTAGTGTGCTGTTGTCCAATATGAACTGCTGTTCCGGTAGGCTAAGTTTCATGAAGATAACGAAGACTTTGACAAATATTATGAAAAAGTTCTACCTCAATGAAAACATAAGCTTAAAAGATAACGGGAATACAAATGATTATCTTACAAGAAGCTAGAACAATTAGCCTCTAGATAAAAGTTATCTGATCATGGTGAATCATACAATAAAAGATGTTAGGAGCCGACTAATTCCAATTGAAATGATAAAATTAAATGATTACAGAATGTTGAATTGTTTATTAGAAGGAAAGTATATGATTCATGAAATGAAGTAAGACTTAAGTAGTATAAAAACAAACTAGAAAGAATAAGATCTAAAAGCAGAATGTTTAATTATTTATAATATAAATGTTTGTTTAACTGTTCCCACAATATGAGATAGAATAATTGTATGATTTACGATAAGGAGAGCATGCTAGTAACCAATCGACAAAGCAAGGACAGAGTTTCTACAAGTAAAGAACATCTGCAACTTAATACAATTATCGAAAAACACCAAAGTCACAATTTTCAATATAAATGTCAAGACATTTCTATAGTATGAGGCGGGAACTTGTAGAACTACGAAATTCATTGTATAAAAGATACAGATATTGATAAACAGTTATCTATGCAAGATATTGCAGATCCCCTTGACGAGATACTATCAACAACAACCTACTGAAGGTGAGAACAAACCAGATTCCATCAGAGGAGGAAATTAGGAAAAGATGCTGAAGGTGTATGGGACACATATTGAGGAAAGCACCTAACTGCGTCCCAAGGCAAACACTCACATGGAATCCTCGAGGCCAAAGGAAAAGAGAAAGACCAACTCAAACATTAGGCCTAGAATTAAAGAATGAAAAGGAAGGCGGATGACTGCGTTAGGTTGGGGAATGCTGGTCGGCAGCCTACGCCTCACTAGGGGAGACAGGCTTAAGTAATTAAGGAAGTAGGCTAGCAACGTATGTCTGTGTCTAAAGTAAAAAGAATAATAGCCACAAGAACGAATCCCTTTACTAAAACGAAGCAGTCGTTCAGTGCTTCCAAGTTTATAATGGTAGTCTAACTAATATTAGTTCGTGATATCAACTAAGAAATTAAGATGTATATTACAAAATAATTTTAAGTGGAATCTATATTTCTTGAAGAAATTTACTTATTATAAATGGTTCATTAAAAGTAATAATTAACATATGAAAAAAAAACATTTTATTAATTGAAAATAAAAATAAAATATCAATTGTTTCATTAGAGTTTATTATTTATTTGTTAACACTTCAAATTTCAATAGAATATACATCTAAAAAACTGATTATGAATTGAACTGAGTCCATTGATCATTTAATAAAAATTTATAATATCATTCAAATAGATTATTCTGTATCATATTTGCTGATCAATAAAAATAATAATAACTATTGTATTAACATAACTACATGCTTACTAAAGACTGTTCTGCCTAATAGAGCATAGTCTGCTGATTAGCATTCTCCAACCTAGTCTGTTCTGAGTTTTCCTTCCTAGTTCTATCCAGCTGTTGTGCATTCTTGTCATATCTGTCTCCACTTCTCAGCGCGTTGTGTTCTTTGGTCTTTCCCTTTTCCTTTGGCTTTGAAGGTTCCAAGTGAGGGGTTGCCTTGTGACACAGTTCGGTGCTTTACTCCTGCAGCGCTTTACCTAATTTCTTCTACAACTGGAATCTGACAGATTGTTACTGATGATCGCTGGCCAACGAATCCGAAGTATCTTGCATAGACATCTGTTTACAAACACTTGTATCTTGTGGATGATGCCTTTCGTAATTTATTAACTTACGATGAAATTCGAAATGGCTATTCAGATTCTTTACGAAGTAATTTCAAAATAACTGAAATCAATTTCACAATTTTACAGAAGGAGACGATAACATTATTACTTTGTTCATAATAAAAATTACTTGACCGTAACATTTAAATAAATGAGGTTAAAATCTTGAATTGTTAATATTTCTAAATAATTTAATGTTACAACCGGTGTGCAGAGCGATAATGACACAAACTTCCAAATATTTTCGACAAATCTATGGTCTTTAAACAGTAATCCCTGAAAGTAGTAAGATGAAACAGTATCCTAGGATTTACTGAAAAAATCTTCGTTAACATAACGGGGATTATTTTGCCTTGAAAGCTTTAAGAACATGTATAGGCTCTAGGTAGAAATGTACGCCTTAACGTTGTACATATTCAGGTCTAAATTTGATTATTCTCTGATGACCTATGAACATTTGGAATTCAGACCTCGACAGTCTTTTACTAGCAAGTTTCAAAATGTCTAAATTTCACATAACAATGGAATCCAATACGCATGTTTTGCAATATTCGGAATAGGTCAACCAGCTGTAGTTTCAACCCGATGTTAGCGTTCACACTGATACTTGAAATACTAACACCTTTTCCACTAAGCTGCTGATTTCAGAAAATTACTCACTTCTTAGATTACGTCATATCACAAACAGATGGGTTGAGGATTGAAATGTCATCATATTAGGACTCAGTGAATAATAATATCAAGGTCACTAACAGACTTTGAAATTATGAATTGTTTCCTACGGTTTGAAGTGGGTACTCGTCGCTAAAGTATCCCAAATCATTATCAGACAGTTATTCGAAACCTCCTAGTTTTAAGTGTTCGATGTCTGGTGTCAGTTTTTAATGAAACCTACCTTCGAAAAGTACAAAACGGTTGGTAAGACGAGGTAATTTAAACAAAATTGGGAATGCTGTCTAACCCTTGTAGATTGCACCAATAACCTTAATAATTTGTAAGAAAGATACATTGATTTAATTTAAACTTATCAATCTTAGGAAATTTATTTGTATAGAATGATTTACCTACTAAGAAATATATCAGTAACCAAATTTAGAACACTAAATGCGCGCAGTTTAAGATGGGAACCGAAATAATATTTATCAAGATGAATGAAAGCAGTCATATCGGATATGAAGGTAGCATGAATGACATAAAGCTAGAGAAAAACTTTTCGAATATCAAAAATCACAAAGTAAATATATCTTATGAAAAGATAGCACATTTTCTCAACCAAATTTCGTAGATAAAATAATAATTTTGGAAGCAACTTGGAAGGTGATTTGCCTAATCGAGGTCTATAAAGAATGTCATCGTTTTGTTTATAGACTGAATATCTACAAAAAATTCTGTTGATTTACTAACAATCAAAGTAGCGCCTTAGTAAATAAGGCCTTCAATCTTCAGCAAGTACATAGCAGGTTCGGTACTTGACAAGTGTTTCGTTTTAGTTCGGAATTCAGTAGTGCACACTTTTGTGTGCGATTCAGATTCAAGTATTGAGAGCGACATGTTTACTTCAGACATTTGATTTATAAATCAAATGTTCAATTTACTCCTACGAAGTAACTAACTACTTTGCAATTTCGTCATTGATATCTTACAGTCTGTTTTCGTTCAAATTGCAAGACCAAACATATGTAGACATAAAACTATTTGATAGATATTACGTGAATCCATAGTCGCATGATTATAGTGGGCGTAAGTTGGATGAGATCTAGAAGAAGCCAAAAGACGTTGTATTAATCTATGGAGTCACTGATTGTTAGTTTAAGTCATCTCGGTAAGTGCATCCGTACGAGTTAGGTTTTGTGCGACTCTTGCTGGATGTAGCTCAAAATGCACTGACTCTTTGTCTAACTTTAGAAAACGAGCTTTAAAACATATTTATCTTGATAATTTCACGTGGTAGGTATAGAGCAAGTTGACTTGATCAATATGATTGACCTACGAAGCATGATGATTGTTCGATAAAACTATACACAACAATCTCAATAAAAAAACACATTAACGGTAAAGATTACACAAAAATTTATTTTGTTTAAATCATCATTACACAAAAAAGAAAAAGACAGTGAAGTAGTAGTAATGACAGAGAAAA